TATATATATATATATATATACTTACATTTTATATAGATGTATATTTTAAAAATTTTGTTAAAATCAATTTCATATCATAATAACTAATTATTATTCGTAATTTCAATACTCAAAAATCTTTTATTGATCACATCAAATAATGAAATATGATAATTTTTAATGAAATATTTTGTGTGTTATAATTTTATAATTACATTTTTTATTACACATTTTTTATATTACAGATGTGAACACTCATGATGATATTTTTAAATATTTTAATTTTAAAAAAATTTTTTCCATTTCAATGTCTTATATCTTCGCCTTATAAATATCGTGGAAATTCTTTTAATGACTAAATATGTAGGTATCTAACTATCGAACGTTTTACACGATTATATATTTGTGAATATATATCTTGTTGCTTGATAACTGCCTTATACATTCTTCTAGCACCGCAACCTATGCCAATATATATATATAATGCAACTAATAATTACATATTATCGTTTAGTTAAAACTTAGAAGTAAGAAAATCTAGTTCGAAATCACTAACCGATACATTGTTATTAATGCTATATGTAATTTCTCCCATTTGAAAGGCAATTTTATACGGATAATGTTTGAAAATATTCAGTTGCTTTCGAATCGATGCAACAATCCAAGCTTTCACATATCATTCTAGTGCGATATACTATCAAATATTATTCGATTCGAAAAGTCGAACAGTTTTTTAATATTATGTTAAAGCAAGTGACATTTGAGAAAGTTATACACATTATTTGGTTCAGTGTAGCTTTAACTTTTTGCTGGCCACTTCCTGCCAATAGTACCAAAAATCAAGTGTTTGTTTTCAGAATTTTACAAATAATTAGTATTATTAATGCTTTTATGCTGATTCTGCCGTTGTTGTATTCTATCTATTTGCATTTTAATGATATTGCCATTGTCTTTCAATCTCTTTCTATATTAGTAGGTTTGTCTCAAATGATTATTCAAACTGTTATATTATGCTTTGTTAAATACAACTCTCTGCAAGTAAGTTTGTATTTATTTCATCTTTTTTCCGCATTTCACATAAAAAAAATAATTTTTACATTAGATATATAACTATTTTTTTTCTTCGTTATTTTGATATTATCAATCTTATAAAATAAGATTTAATATTTAAAATTTAATGTTTAATTTAAAATATTGATAATAGGAAGTTTATTTCTTAATTTTATCTATTCACTATAAATTCTATATATATAAAAGGAATAGAAAAAAAAATTTTACTTAAATATTTGATATTTAAGATAAATTATTTTCATGATTAATAATAATTATTACTTTTTTCTAATCTAATATTCTATAAAATTTGTGAATTATTCTACTTTCAAAAAATTATTTATAGAATAGCGGAGAAATTAACTAATATTTAATATATAAATAACTAATGTAAGTATTTCAAAGAAATACATCGATATCAATAAATTTTAATCATATTTATTAGTATTTTTAAAAAAATTGCAAGAAAAATATTAAATATTGTAGTATAGTTTTAATACAAATTAATTATTATTATATTTAAAACATTAAAATAAAATTCTTGTTATATAAAATCAATTTTATAGTGGCATTCAAAATTATATGAATTTTAAAATCATTTAGATTAATTCTTCCATGAGTAGCTGAATTTATAATTTAAAATAGAATTTTCTTTTTTCTTGTATACATTACATCTTACAAAGAAATTTTCTTAATCTTAACTTCACTAAAAAATTATGCGTATGTACAGTGTATAGTTTACATATAATGGACTTCGTTTCGGCGACAAATCTTTTTTCTTATCTTTTTATCTTCTTATCATTCAAATACAATTTCTAATGGAAATATATTTTAATATACAAATTCGATAAAATAAAAACGTATTGATAACATAAAATTAATCGTGTAAATTTTAACTTTTTAGTATAGTAATTTAATTATATTAATTTTAATATCTCTTGAAATGAGTATAAAAATGACAATGTACAGTACAACATAGAATTTTTGAAATTTTAAATTTAATTTTAGCGTGTAATCGAGGAAATGATAACCTGCGTCAAAGAAGCACAGCAATACGAAAGGAAAATTTTCTGCAAATATATCGACAAGTGCAACATATTTTACGGAAGTTCTTTAATATTCACATACATGGTTGTAATTGTTTACATAATGGGACCTATAGTCTTGCCAGCACCTTTTCCAATAGATACCGAATACCCGTTTCACGTTAACTACACGATAACAAGGATCATCATATATTTGCAACAATCTTTACTTATCGTTCAATGCGCTGGACATGTATGCTTGAGCGTATTTGGCGCGCTTTTGCTCTGGTTCACGGCCGCGAGATTCGAATGTTTGATCGTGGAATTGCAAAAAATCACGAATATTGGTATGCTGATTATTTGCATAGAAAAACAATTACGTTTAAGGAGGTAAAGATAAAACGTTCTATATTTAATTTATGCGGATGAAATAAGTAGAAAATTACACTGTATTTCCGTTACTACATTAATCCTCTCTTTTCTTTCAGATACGCAAGGAACGTGGTGAATAGTTTTCGCTTTATGATTGTTTATGCGATCGGTGTAAGTACATTTGCTCTGACTCTATACGGTATTATAATGATAGTGGTAAGTAAAATTTTTGTTTCATACATTTGTGTATAATGTATGATGACATTTACGATACAATGTCGTTATGACATTTTTTCTTATGACAGAAGGCACCGCTAATCATGAAAATAGAGGCTATAACTTTGAGTTTTGTTTTACTCCTACAAATTTATATATACGCGTGGCCTGCTGATTACATGAAGGACATGGTAACATACGTTTTATATTTATAAATTAGTAGTAAATTAGTTATATGATTATATATTAAAAATATATGTGTTATGTGTTATTTGAAATACATTAAATCGTTCGTACTTTTTAGAGTATAAACGTTTCAAAAAGTGTGTACAACATAATATGGTATAAACAGACATTGAGAATGCAAAAGAATCTGTTAAACGTGTTGGTGTATCAGCAGCCGATAATTTTTTCTATTAGTTGTATATTGCCAGAGCTTTCGTTACGTTATTTTTGCTCGGTAAGTCGGAATTAATAATTCAGATATCGTTTATGAATTAAGAATTAACAATTAACAGAGTGATAATATTTCAGTACGTATCCAATATTTTCTCTATCTTCACAGCTGTACGTGTCATCATAGAAGACGATCAATTAGATCCATTAAGTAATTGTTAAAATATCTTAATTAATCAATCATTTTTGTGCAAACGATTTAAGTATTTTAATTAATAATTGACTGTGCAAACTTATGCAAACGCTTATTAATCTATATTTCTTATTAAATGATGATTAGCAATTGGTATTTTTAATTAATAGTTATCAATTAATTTTATTAATCTAAATTAAATTTTTATAATTGATTGTTACGATCAATCGATAAATCATATTGAAAATTTTACAATAATATAATAACATTAAATGTAAGGTTCATATTGCTATTGTTAATCGTAATCGTTTCAATACGATTTATTAATTCATTAATTCACGAGAAAATATCTTTTTCGATCGGTTTACCTGTCATATTCTAGTTGCTTTTCCCCGATGATGTGTTAATAATGATAAATAACAGATAAAAATCGTATATTAATGTACATATCACGAATAAGTATAAGTGAAATTAAATATAGTACTAGTAATTTTTTTACTGTAAAATATCTCGAAAACTGAGGCTGATCGATGATTATATATACAGAAAAAAATTGTTCAAAATCTTATTATATTTAAAAAATCATCAAAATCCATAAGAATATTATCGAAAAATTGATCAGAATTTTTCATAAATATCCACAATCTAGTTATCTGTTATGCATCTTACTGAAGGTATCAGAAACCAAAGTTTGATTCGGATTTGAAATAAAAAAAAAATAAAATACAATTAATTAATATATCCTCGTCATTGTCGTATTTTTCACGTCACCAATTTCCATACTAAATTTTTTTTAATTCTAACAAATCTAATTTTATTATTTTTTTTTTATTGTATATTCTCTACACACATAAACATTTTTACACACGTAGATATTGACGATAGGTGTTTCTTAGCGTTAATGAAAGCTTTCAATTTTTTGCTGTATCGTTATCTATCTGGAAGCCCTTCTAATAACAAAGCATGTAGTTATCTAACTAGAGAACGTTGTTACACGATAATACATTTGTGAATACTACTCTTGTTGCTTGATAACTACCTTATTCATTCTTCTAGCATCGCAACCTATGTCAATATATATATATAATGCAACTAATAATTATATATTATCGTCTAGTTATCTAGTAGCAAGACAATTATTTAAGTAGAAAATTACTGATCGATATATTGCCATTAACTACTACGTTCTATATGATTTATAAAATTCTTTTTACTTAAAAGGCAATTTTATACGGATAAAAACGTTTGCGAACATTCAGTTGCTTTCGAATCAATGTAACAATCTAAGTGATAGCATTCGCATTTTGTTCTAGTGCTATATTATTAAATATTATACGATTTATAAGTCGAAGAGTTTCTTGATATTATGTTAAAACAATTGACACCTGAGAAAGCTATCCACATTACTTGGCTCAGCGTAGCTATAACTTTTTGTTGGCCACTTCCTGCCAATAGTAGCAAAATTCAAGTGTTTATGTTCAAAGCTCTGCAAATAATTAGCATTATTAATGCCTTTGTATTGCTTCTGCCATTGCTATATTCGATTTATCTGCATTTCGATGATATTGTCGTTGTCTTTAAATCTATCGCTTTGTGTGTAGGTTTGTCTCAAATGATTATACAAACTGCTATATGCTTCGTTAAATACGACTCTCTGCAAGTAAGTTTCTTTATTATCCTATTTTTGAAAAATTATTTTCACGCTAAAATTATTAATAACTTTATATCGTTTATATTTTTTTTTTCATTTTGATGTTGCTAATTTTAAAATATCGATGCTTCGAAATTTCCTATATTTTCATTGAATTATACTTTTGACATTTTTTAATTGTATCGATATCATCAAAATCAGTATGATGATTACAGTGAAAATGAAAACAGTTTTAATTTTATTCGCTAAAACCTTTAAAGCATTTATTCTTTAATTTTGAATAAAATGTTAAATCCTTTTTACACGAAATCAGCTTTATATTTAAAATCACATACAATTTATTTGAAATTTTAATATCATTCGTAAATTTTGAAATCATTTAAATAATTTTCCTGTCAGCTATTATTGTAGCCATTGAGAATAAGTAAATACTTTTCTCTATTACATATTATATTTTACAAGGAAATTTACTTAAGCTCAACATTTTAATTTTAATAAAAAATTGTACATAATGGAGCTAACTTTTTCGGCAGCAAATATATATTTTTTTTTTAATTCATAATAATTTCATTTAAAAATTTTAACATTCAATTTTATATTTCAAAATATACAATTTCGAATGGGAATATATTACAAGTTCGATAGAATATTAAAAGCATTGATAACAAGTAATTATAATGTTTCTAAAAAATGAATATCAAAACAACTTAAAAAGTTCGATGTAAACGGAAAAAATTCTTAAAAATTTAATTTCAAATTACAGCGTGTAATCGAAGAAATGATAACATATGTGAAAGAAGCCCAGCAGTACGAAAGGAAAATTTTCCACAAGTATATCGAGAAGTGTCACATATTTTACGGATGTTCTATAATATGTATGTACCTGACTGGAGTTGCTTTCATAATAGGGCCTGCATTCTCGCCGGCTTCCTTCCCAGCAGATGCGGAATATCCGTTTCAAATTAATTATAAACCAGTAAAAGTTATCATATATTTGCAACAGACTTTAGTTGGTTTTCAATGCACTGCACATATATGCTTAAGCGTGTTTGGCGCGCTTTTACTTTGGTTCACGGCCGCGAGATTCGAATGCTTGGCCGTGGAATTGAAAAAAATCACTAATATTGGTATGCTGATTGTTTGCGTTAAAAAACAGTTGCATGTAAGGAGGTAAAAATGAAAAATGGTAATAAATTCCAGATTCAATTTAAATATTTATCGAATGTTTGGATGAAATAGAAAGTTTTATGGATAATTCAAGAAGTCAAAATAGGATGGAAATCAAAACTAAACGAAAATTTATTTGAGACTTCCCTTTTCATTTGTTGAAAATTCAATATACGAATGAAAATTAGATTACTATTATATAGATTTTATATAAATAAAAATACTTATTTTTTATTTCTTGAAGATGTTCAATTTTCCACTTTTATTCTTTTTCTGAATCATTTTTAATTATTAGTAAAGAAATTAATTATTATTAAAGAATATTTCACAAATTTTTTTTTATATTTTATTTTTATTTTATTTTGGCTTCTAAAACTATCCTTTTAAATTTTCTAATTGCATTAATCCATTATATTTCCATTTTTCCATTATATTTCCAATTGCAATTAATTATTTTCTTTTATTTTTTATTTTAGATATGCAAAAAGAGTGGTAATTAGCTTTCGCTTTATAATACTTTGTGCCATAGGAGTAAGTACATTTGCTTTGACTTTAGGTGGAGTTATAATGATAAAAGTAAGTAAAATTCTATTCTATATGAATATATATAATGTAATATATATATAATATAATTAATTATATTACACATCACAAACAGAAAGCACCATTTATTGTGAAAGTACAGTTCATAACTTTGATTTTGACTCTACTCACAGAAATTTATATGTATACGTGGCCTGCTGATCACATGAAAGATATGGTAAATTATATTTCATATAAATTATAAAAATGCTATGTATTTTTTGAAGTACATTAAATCATCCATATTTCTTAGAGCATGAATGTTTCACAAAGTGTATACAACATAACATGGTATAAACAGACATTGAGAATGCAGAAGGATCTGTTAAACGTATTAATGTATCAACAACCGATAATCCTTTCTATTAACTGTATATTGCCAGAGCTTACATTGCATTATTATTGCTCGGTAAGTCAAATTAAAATATCAATTATGACGTATGAATAAGAACGCATAAGTAACAAAATGATAATATTTTAGTATCTATCCAATGCTTTCTCTATCTTCACAGCTATACGTGTCATCATAGAAGATGATCCATCATAAATTTAACATTTTTCTATTTACCTAATTGTTAAAATATTAAACGAGATTTTTATGCAAATAATATATTTAAGTATTTATTTAATAATTGGTTTTTTTTGATGCACTGGAAAATAAAAATAACATCTGGTAAAAAAAAAAAAAAAACTGGAAATATCTCGATTTTAATCTTAATAATAGATTATCAAGTGGCAGAAACAGAGAATTGAATTATCGCATAATTTTTATCACTATATTTACTATTCCATATCATTATATTAAAATATTATATTTTATCATTATTTATTGTATCAATAAAATAATAATTTTTAACGGTTATTATGTTAACCTAATGTTAAAATGTTTATAACTTATACACGAAACAAATAATAATAATTTTGCTCTTATCATTCGCTTTTTTCCAAAATTGTTATATATGAAACAAGTTGAATCTTTGATATTTCCTTCGAACAATTGAAAAGTAAAAAGTTAATTATAACGGCTTTATCATTGTCGTTTTTTTCACATTGCCCACATTGAAGATCATAATTTCGATATTAAATTTTCAATTCACCGAATCAATAATTTTATAAAAAATAACTTGTGCGTTATAATTTTACGATTATTCTTTTCTATTGCATATTCTTTATAATATACACGTAGACACAACGGATATGGGATTCTAAATCCTATGGAAGATTTACTCCGTGATTTCAATCTCTTGTATAATTTATCACCTTGTCAATAAGTGAGCTATTCCAACATTTAAATATGTAGGTATCTAATTAGAGAACGTTTTACAATATCATACATTTGTGAATATCAGTCTTGATAAGTATTCGTTCTTCTAGCATCACAACTCGTGCCAATATATACAATGCATCTAATAATTATATATTATAATTATATATATATAGTTGCCTAGTAGCAAGAAAATTATTAGGAAATTACTGATCGATATGTTGTCATTAACCAATGTTATGTTCCATATGAAATTCCTCTTACTTAAAAGACAATTTTACACGTCTGCAAACATTTAGCTGTTTTTCGAATCAGTATAACAGCGTTCACATATCGTTTCATTGTCTTATCGTTCTGTTGTGTACAAACGTTAAATATTATTCCATTCATAAGACGAAAAATCTTTTGATATTATGTTAAAACAATTGACACCTGAGAAAGTTATCCACATTACTTGAATTAGCTTCAACATTGTGTTGGCCACTTTCTGCCAATAGTAGCAAAACTCAAGTGTTTATATTCAAAGCTCTGCAAATAATTAGCATTATCAATGCTTTTATATTGCTTCTGCCCTTGTTATATTCGGTCTATCTGCATTTTGATGACGTTATCATTGTCTCCAAATGTGTTGCTCTCTCAATAGGCTTGACTCAACTAATCACACAGACTGCCATATGCATCGCTAAATACGATTCCCTGTAAGTAAGTTTTCAATTGTTTTATCTTATTTTAAAAATTAAATATTTTTACGTTAGATTCATTGTTCTTATATTATATTAATTCTGACACAAAATCAGACATTTGAAATCACTTCTAAACAATTCTTCTGTGAATAGCCGAATTATCGAGTGCAAATAATTAATTTTTTCCAATCTCAAAAATTTTTATTTTTAATAAAATATTGTGTATAACGTATAACGTATAATTTATAAGTATATATGTATAATATAGTGATTTTTTCGATGACAAGTATTTTTTCTTCAATTCATAATCTTTTTATCTTAAAATTTGTACACATTCTCACATTTCAAATGCAATTTGTATTGAAAATTTTTATAAATTCGAATAAAAGTTGTTTACAAAATTTATAGATTGAACTAAAATATACAATAACAATTCATCATTACACAATAAGATTTACGTAGTAATTTTTTTATATCAATATCCCTTAAAATGAATTCATTAGAATCGAAATAATTTTTAACGAATTTTCCTAAAATCTAAATTTTCAATTACAGCATGTAATCGAAGAAATGATAATCTGTATCAAAGCAGCACAACAATACGAAAGAAAAATTTTCCACAAATACATCGAGAAATGCTACACATTTTATGCATGCTCTATAACATGCACGTACCTAACAACAACTGTTTTCATAATAGGACCTGCATTCTCGCCATCTTCCTTCCCAATAGATGCGGAATACCCCTTTCAAATTAATTACACGCCAGTGAAGACTATCATATACCTGCAACAAACTTTGGTCAGTTTTCAATGCGCTGGACATATATGCATAAGCATATTTGGCGCGCTTTTGCTTTGGTTCACGGCCGCGAGATTCGAATGTCTGGCCGTGGAATTGCAAAGAATTACCAATATTGGTATGCTTGCGTTAAGAAACAATTACGTATAAGGAAGTATAAATCGTGGATTAAATTATGCATTTATGTAGAATGTTCGGGAGTAGGTAAAAAGTTATAATTCACGAAACTAAAATAAGACGAAAAACGGAAGATAACAAAATTTCAGATCTGCTTGCTGTTTGAAAATCATTCTATTCTCTGTTGAGCTGTCTTCTATGTTTCAGTTTGAACAGAGAAGATTGCTCACGTCAATTTTTAATTGTTAGTAAACTAAAGAACGAAATTTTCATCTTGTTTCGGTTTTTAGAACTATATTAAATTTTCTAACTACATCTACTGAACACATTGTATAGTTTATTGAAATTAGTTCTCCCTTTCTTTTTTTTTTTTTTTTCTTTAGATACGCAAAAAAAAGTGATAATTAGCTTTCGTTTTATAATAGTTTATGCCATAGGAGTGAGTACATTTGTCCTGATTCTAGATGATATTATAATAATAATGGTAATTGAAACTTTCAATATTTTTTATATACGATATAACATATGTTATTTAATTATTTTCATTCATTTCGAACAGAAGGCATCGTTAATCGTGAAAATACAGTTCATAACATTGAGTTTGACAGTGCTGACAGAAATATATATATATATACGCATGGCCTGCTGATTATATGAAAGATATGGTGAATTATGCTGCATCATTTATATTTATAAATATATAACATATGCGTGTGTCTTTTTTGAAGTACACTGAATCGTCCATATTTCTTAGAGTACAAATGTCTCAAAAAGTGTGTACAATATAACGTGGTATAAACAGGCATTGAGCATGCAAAAGAATCTGTTAAACGTATTGATGTATCAGCAGCCAATAATCCTTTCTGTTAATTGTATATTGTCAGAACTTTCGTTACATTATTATTGTTCGGTAAGTCAAATTAATATTCAAATATCAATTAAATGAATTAATATAAATGATAACATTTCAGTATCCGTCCAATGCCTTCTCTATCTTCACAGCTATACGTGTCATGATAGAAGATAATCCATGATTAAATTTATTTATTGTTTTATTATGTAATTGTTAAAATACTTCATCAATTAAATTTTTACATCACGAAGTGATGTATTTAAATATTTAATCGACTGTTGTTTCATTGTGAAATAAACTGTTTGACTCGAATTGCATATCAATTCATCTTTTCTTTATCAAACGACGATTCATAGCGATTTATAATTTAATTAATTTTCGTTTAAATTTAATAAATAACGAAGAATTTTTACAATTAATTTTTACAGGATTAATCAACATAATAAATCACATTTAAAATTAGTATAATGATACATATTAATGTAAGATTGATATTGTTATTATCGTAATTTCCATTAATTTCAATCGTCCAAAGATTGTTTTACATTTTATTTTAGCATTCGTTATGAAATATCGAAGCTTAATTTGGAATTGAGATATTTTGAACTCGCCAAAATTCATGAGAAAGCAGCATTCTGATTTGTTCATCCTTTATATCTTTATTCGTCATCATGAAGCGTTAATATAAAAAATAGAAGAAATAAAATAGAAGAAATGTAATGTAATAATATTAATCATTTTTTGCAAATATTTCGAAAACTGAGATAGATCATCGATCGTATGTACAAAAAAAAGTTATTTTTAATTATTAATCTCTATAACAACGTCTCTAAAGACATTTTCAAAATCTACAAAGACATTACACATTTTTAAAATGACTAAAATTTAATTTTCCACAATCTAGTTACTTTTTGCAACAATTCCAGTAGAAATACTAGGAACCAAAATTCGATTTGTTTCTCACCGATTGTTCCATTATTAGTCAATATTATTATAATTAAATTATTATATTTCATCATTATTGAACAAGAATTTATTATATCAATGAAAATATATTATTTTTTAAGCGATTAAAGAATTTTAAATAATATAACAGATTTTTATTTTGCTATTCGTGCTTCGTTCTTATTTCTTTCTTCTTTAAATGTTATATTTGAAATACAACCTTTCGTCATTCCTCCAAACAATTAAAAAATGCAGCTATTATGTTTCCGTTCATTGTCGCTTGTTTCATATCATGAATCTTGTCGTGATTTCCATGTTGTATCTTCATTTCATAATCAACAATTTTATGACTATTCTTTTTTATTGCACATTTTTTCATTCCTTATATTACACACAACACTCACAATTGATATTTTCAAACTAGAAAAAAATTTTTCAGCCACCGTTTTAACGTTTTGTATGCTATACCATCTCGTAAATATCATAAGAGTAAGTTCTTATAATGATCAATTTAATATGTAGATAACTCTTATGCGTGTTGCTTGATAACTTATCTATTTTTCAAGTAGCACAAGCCTATGCATGTATAATCCAACGAATAATTACATATTATCGTTCAGTTACCCGATAGAAAAATAATTATTTCGGATTATTTATTAGAAAATCGGTAAACGATACACTACTTTCTATTCTCACATATGATTATTACTAAATTCCTTTTACTTAAGAACCAATTTTACACGTGAGAAAATATTCAGTTGCCTTCGAATCAATGTAACAACTTAGCTGAAGGATAATCCTCAATTCTATCGTTTTTCTAACCAATTAAATATTGCTCGTAAAACGAGGAGTTTCTTGATATTATGTTATTCTTGATATGATGTTAAAACGAAAAATAATCGAGAAAGCTATCCACATTACTTGGCTGAGCGTAGCTATAACTTTTTGTTGGCCAGTTCCTCTCAACAGTAGCAAAACTCAAGTGTTTATTTTCAAAGTTTTACAGATAATTAGTATTATTAATGTCTCTATGTTGCTTCTCCCGTTGTTATATTCGATTTATCTGCATTACGATGATATCATCATTGTCTCTAAATCTATTCTTTGTCAGTAGGCTTGATTCAAGTAATCGCGCAGACTGCTATATGCTTCGTCAAATACGACTCTCTACAAGTAAGTTTCTATCCATTTTATCTTTTTCACCATTGATTTTACGTAAGAAATTAAGTATTTAAGTATATCACCGATTATCTTCTTGTTCTTGCAAACTTTGATACGCTTGAAATTATTTAAAATTACATGAATTTCTTCGAAAATAATTCTTTTTTCTAGTTACAAAGAAATTTTCCTGATCTCAAAATTATAATTACAGTAAAACATTAACTGTATCATTATATATATATATATATATATATATATATTATATAATTTTTCTTATATTTCAAGTTTGACCACTTTCTCACATTTCAAACAGCTTTTAATTTTATAAGTTCGAAAAAGTACTCAAACTTGTTGATAATATTACTTGAATTCATATTCAATGAATATCAAAATAACAATTAACGAAATTCAATGTCGGGTGAAAATTGTAAATTTAATTTCGAAATTACAGCGTGTAGTCGAAGAGATGATAATTTATGTCAAACAAGCACAACAATACGAAAAGAAAATTTTCCACAAGTATACAGAGAAATGTCACACATTTTACGGATGTTCTATAGCGTGTATGTACCTGACTGCAACCGCTTTCGTAATAGGACCCGTATTCTCGCCAGCTTCCTTCCCAGCAGATGCGGAATATCCGTTTCAAGTTAATCGTACGCCAGTGAAGATTATCATATATTTGCAACAGAGTTTAGTTGCCTTTCAATGCGCTGGACATGCATGCTTGAGCGTATTTGGCGCGCTTTTGCTCTGGTTCGCTTCGGCCAGATTTGAATGTCTGGCCGTGGAATTGCAAAAGATCAGAGATATTGGTATGCTGATTGTTTGCGTTAAGAGACAGTTACATGTAAGAAGGTAATGATATAGTTATGCGTTTGTATGAAATGTGCAGAAAGATTAAGGGATAAGCCAAAAAGAAACTTCTTTTTTCAATTTATCCCTTTATAACATTAAAAATAAACTCATTATTATATTAATCAGATTAATTATAGACCAATAAGTATCATGGATGATAATAATTTAAATTGAATATGATTTGTTTATGTTGCATAACTTGAAGTATTTGAAATTATATTTTTTTACAGTTCAATGAAATTTTTCAACTTATCTCAAAATAATATTTGTATGTGATAGTATTAAAATAAATATTTGCATAGTTATTTGATCTAAGAATCATTATATTTTCTTCTTCAGCTGTTGTCTATATTTGTCTCGTGTAAAAAAGATTATTTATACTTCATTTTCATTCTAATTCGCTTGTAAAACTATCCTTTAAATTTTCTAGCTACATCGTTCCAATACGTTGTGTTTTTATTGCAGTTATTATTGCAATTCTTCTTTTTTTTTTTTTTTTTCTTTTAGATACGCAAGAAGAGTGGTAATTAGTTTTCGCTTTATAATACTTTGTGCCATGGGAGTAAGTATATTTTCTCTGACTCTAGGTGGTGTTATAATGATAACAGTAAGTAAAGCTATTGTTTTATATATATATATATAATGTAAGGTGTACAATATAATTAACAATGTATATCACAAACAGAAGGCACCATTTATTGTGAAAATACAATTCATAACTTTGATTTTGACTCTACTCACAGAAATTTATATGTACGCCTGGCCTGCTGATCATATGAAAGATATGGTAAATTATATTATATTACTTACATCTATAAGTATATAATTATATATATATATATGTTTTTTATTTTTTAATATACTGAATCGTTCATATTTCTTAGAGTATAAACGTTTCAAAAAGTGTGTACAACATAACATGGTACAAACAGACATTGAGAATGCAAAAGAATTTGTTAAACGTATTAATGTATCAGCAGCCGATAATTCTTTCTATTAATTGTATATTGCCAGAGCTTTCATTACGTTCATATTGTTCGGTGAGTTAAATCAATAATCAAATAGTTATGAATAATAACGTACAAGTAAAAAAATTATTACATTTCAGTACCTGTCCAATGCATTCTCTATCTTCACAGCTATACGTGTTATCATAGAAAATAATCCATCATAAATGTAATTTTTTTATTAAGTAATTGTTAAAATTTCAATTGTTTCATGTATCTATGTATTTAATAAATAATTTACTAATATTTCGTTGGCTATAAAATTAATGATTTAGATATATATGATATAATGTATCAATCTGTTTTATTAAATGATGATTAATAATTGATATTTTTATTAAAATTAATTGACTTATTTCATGAATCAACTAAAAATTTTTATAATTAATTTTAATAGTTTGTGATCGTTTTATATTTTATTATCACAATCTAAGAATATGTGAAATATTCAAGATTAGTACAAGTTGAAATTGGTACTTTAAACTCACAAATGAAAAAAAGTAAATAATCAAATAAAAAGTCGATCAAAATTCAATGCAATAGCAGCAATTATTTTTTGCAAATATCTCGAAAATTGTGGACGATCAAAAATTCAAAAGGATTATTACACATCGATAAGTTGATCAAATTTATCATTCTTCACAAACATTCCTACCTGTTGCATCACACTTGAAGTATCAGGAACCAAAAGTTCGATTCATTTCGTGTCGATTTGAAAGAAGGTCTCAGAAAATCAGCTTATTCTGCTATATATGATCGTTGCACTAACATTTCAAAGGATTGGATATATTGGAACGTAAGTTGCTTCAATATATAATAATCAATAAATAATATAATTTTTTGTACTTTCTTCAAGCAATTAAGAAAATGCAATTAATTATTACGATTCTGTGCACTATTATTTTTCACATAGACTCTAATCTTGATATTAAGTCTTTAATCAACCGAGTCAACAATTTTTGACGAAATATCTTATGCCTTTAAAATTTTACGATTATCTCTTTTCTATTGCACATTTTATTTATTATACACATAGACACTCGCAATTGATATTTCCAAACCCTAAAAAAAAAAGTTCTCTCTACTATTTCAACGTTTTGCACACTATACCAACTCATAAATATCGTGAGAGTAAGCTCTTGATTGAATGTGTATGTAACTACATTTTCCACTACATCACCTTTATGAATACCAGTCTTATTACTTGATAATTGTTCTATCCATTTTTCAAATACTGCAAGACGTGGCAATATGCAATCAATAATTACATAATATCTACAGTTATTTAATAAGTAAGATAATTACTACATTGCAACTTACTAATCGATCCATTATTGTAACTTAATTGTTATCCTTGTATATGATTTATGAAATTTCTTTTACCTAAAAGTCAATTAAATACAGATAACGTAGACGCAAATATTCAGTTGTTTTCGAAGCAACCGAATCCGAATAGTAATATCGAAATCAATAATCCTCGTATTTCGTTCTATTGCATCGGTTATACTTTATTTCGATTCATTAGGTGATTTATAATTTGTCGAAACATGACAAAACAAGTGACACCGGAGAAAGCTATCCAGATTATTTGGCTCAGCGTAGCTTCAACTTTTTGCTGGCCACTTTCTATCAATAGTAGCAAGACTCAAGTGTTTGTTTTCAGAGTTTTACAGATAACCAGCATAATTAATGCTTGTATGCTGCTTCTGCCGTTGTTATATTCCGCCTATCTGCATTTTGATGATATTATTACTGTCTCTAAATGCGCTGGATTGGCGATAGCTTTGACTCAAATCATTGTTCAAACTTCTATATGCTTCGTTAAATACGACGTTTTACAAGTAAGTTCTTGTAGATAGATATTAAATGTTCTCATGCTTGTATCGTTGATTTGACTGTTGTTAATCTTAGAATAATAATACTGAGTTGTTATTATTTTCGTTGAGTTATTATTATAATATTTATTAATGTCTTAATTAGATTGACACATACGAACAATAGAAATTGAAATAAATTATCGTCGTAATATATTAAAATTATTATTTTGTAATTTAACATTCAATTCATCAGAGTATGTAAAATGTGTTAATTGGTTTTTTAAAAAATTAGTTTTAAAAAATTATACACAAAAATAATGGAGAAGTTGATTGAAATCATCTAACCGTATATCAAATCAAATCAATAAAATCAATGAAGTTTGTAAAAATTTTAATTATGAGTATATTCACTATAATTTTTCTTTATCATTGTATTTTACTGAAACTTTTAAAACATTAAAAGAATAAATATTACATTACTTAATTTTGAATGAAAAGTTTTTAAAATTACTTTTAATATTGAAATGGGATGAATTTTAAAATTGTTTATTCCTTGTAAGTGTCCAATCTCTCGAAAATAAATATATATTATTTATATATCTTATAAAGAATTTCAACGTTCTAAAAGTTTTCAAGTGTTCTAATTTTTTTTCTCAACATTTTTAATCAACTTTTATATTTGCTTTTATCTAGAATCGTTTCATCAAAAATCTTTCACTATATATCGTATATGCTATATCTTTTAAAATGAATGTTAAAATGATAATTGATGAACAATAACAAAGTTCAATCAAAATTAAAATTCTTTGAAAATTTTAAGTTAATTTTGGATTTACAGCATGTAATCGAAGAAATGATAACTTATGTGAAAGAAGCACAACAATACGAAAGGAAAATTATTTGCAAGTACATCAAGAAGTGTCATATATTTTACGGATGTTCTATAGTATGTGTATATCTGACTGCAATTGCTTTCATAATAGGACCTGTATTCTTGTCCACTTCCTTCCCAGCAGATGCAGAATATCCGTTTCAAATTAATTATACGCCAGTGAAAGTAATCATATATTTGCAACAGAGTTTAGTTGCCTTTCAATGCACTGGCCATGTATGCATAAGCATATTTGGCGCGCTTTTACTTTGGATCACGGCCGCGAGATTCGAATGTTTGGCCGTGGAATTGCAAAAAATTACAAATATTAGTATGCTGATTGCTTGCGTTAAGAAGCAATTACATATAAGAAGGTAAAGTTGACATAAAATTATGCTCTTGTATACCTTCATATAGGATATTTGGAAATAAGTAGAAAATTTAAATGATAATTTAAAAAACCATAATAAGACAAACAAGTAAAGCAAAAAATAATGAAATTTTGTTTGAATTCAATTATTGATATTTAATCTTTTTACTTGAACAAAAATAAAATTGCTATTATCTACATATTTAGATTTGATATAAAAAAAAAAATAAAATATAATAAGTAAAATATTTATTTTCCATTTAAATACAAAGCATCAAAGATGTTCTATTTTTCATTTTCTATTTTTTAAAATTGATTGACTTTTTCGTATGTTATTTTATGTATAACAGTATGGTGTATTGTAATAATTTTAAATTTAAAAAAAGATTGCATTGCTTTTGGAATATTTTTATTTAAAATACTATTTTCTCGAATATATTTTCAAAATAATATTTGTATAAAATAATAGTATAAGAATATTTGCAGATCTTTTTTGTTGGTTTTGAAAATCATTGAAAAACGAATTTTTTTTTTTAATCTTCTGAACACATTGTAATTTTATTATTATTTGTTCTCTCTCTCTCTCTCTCTAGATACGCAAAAAGAGTGGTGAATAGTTTACGCTTTATGATAGTTTATACTATAGGAATAAGCATAGTTATTCTGGTTCTAGATGGTATTATAATGATAATGGTAACTAAAGCTTCTTAATATTTTACATGAACATGTATAATATAACATGTATAATTTAATTATTTTTACACAATTCAGAAGGCATCGTTAATTGTGAAAATACAGTTCATAGGTATAAGTTTGACCGCACTTGTAGAAATTTATATATACACATGGCCTGCTGATCATATGAAAGACATGGTAAATTATGTTTTATTACTTATATCTATAAATATATAATTATATGTGTATTTTCTGAAGTGATGATTGTATCGTTCATATTTGTTAGAGTATAGACGTTTCACAAAGTGCCTACAACGTAACATGGTATAAACAAACATTGAAAATGCAGAAGAATCTGTTAAACGTGTTGGTATATCAGCAGCCAATAATCCTTTCTGTTAATTGTATATTGTCAGAACTTTCGTTACGTTATTATTGCTCGGTAAGTCAAATTAATATTCAAATATCAATTATAACATATAAATTAATATAAGTGATAATATTTCAGTATCTGTCCAATGTTTTCTCTATCTTCACAACTATACGTGTCATGGTAGAAGATGATCCATGATAAATTTAATATTGTTTTATTATATAATTATAAAAACGTTCCAACATATGTATTAATTAAATTTTTATAAAAATCATGAATTTATGTATTTAATTAATAATTGATTGTTATCCTCCAATGAAATTAATTTGAACATGTATAATATAATCAGATTGCAAATTTATTATTAATCCTATCTTTAAACGATGATAGATTCATAGATTATATTAAAATGTATATTATATTCTAATGATATTAAATATAAGATTAATATTGTTATTATCGTTATTTTCATTATTGTTCATAATTTCGATCGTTTAAAGATTGTTATATACTTTATTATTGCATTCTACATATCTGTTCAATATAGATTAAAATTGAGATTCCAAACTTATCAAAATCCATGAGAAAATAGTTTTTTGATCTTTGTTTATCTTTCATATATATATATATATAATTGTTTATCTATGATATGATTTATATTATGATACAATAATATAATTATTGTAGATAATCGTGAGCAAATATCGCGACTCCTGTTATTCAGACGTAATTTAATACAGTGTAATGTAGTAGCAATCATTCTCTGCAAATATTTGAAAAACTTTATACGAAACAATTATTGAAAATCTTGTCCTCTATAACATATCTAAGAATGATCAAACGTAGTAAAGATATCACGTTGATAAATCGATTAAAATTTAATTTTTCATAAACATTCTCATTCTAATTATTCGTGTCACTGGAAATATCAAAAACCAAAAGATTGAATTATGCTAAAATTATTTTCTTTATTTGAAAAAAGAATTAATATAAACTTGTTCTACTAATGTGATCATTGTACTAATATTTCATATATTCTATATAAATATAATATAAATATAGTATATAATACAGATTATATTATTTTAATTTTTAACATGTAATACATTCATTGTATGTAATGTAACACTTCAAGACATATATAAAATATCATAAAATATACATATACATATATAAATTAATAATTAACAAATAATATAAATTAATCTGATTGTTTTATTCTAATGAATATTTGCACTACGATATAAATTTTTTTACTCTCTTTTCACGAAATGGCCAAATACTATTGAATATAATATCTTTTTATTATAACTTACATAAATATTCTACGTAAAATGAACGTTCTACCAAATGCTATTTTAAAAGAAATGTTGGATCCGTTTGCGTGATAACTTTTCTTTGCACCTGTCTAAAACTGCGCAGATGTATAATACAACCGATAATTACCTACTATTATCGAGTGAGCTAGCAGCGCAAGTGTACCCTGCAAGGAAACATTAACCGATACATTTGCTCTAAACTGTTATGCTGCGAGTATGATTTATTAAATTCCTTTTATTTACGAAGCAACTTTATACAGGTAACGTCCATAAATATTTATTCGTTCTCGAAGTGAAGTAACTATGTAATCGAACAACAACCTGCATGTTTCGTTCTATTGCACCGGTTAACCTTTATTTCGTTCGATCCACCAACGGATTCGTATTAATTTCCTCGAAAATATGGTAAAAGGAATAACACCCGAGAAAGCTATCCATATTACTTGGTTGAGCGTAGCCTTAACTTTGTGTTGGCCGCTTTCTGTCAATAGTGGCAAAACTCAAGTGTTCGTTTTCAGAGTGTTACAGATAATTAGTATTGTCAGCGCTTGCATGCTGCTCCTCCCTTTGTCATATTCGATTTATCTGCATACGGACGATGTTATCGTATTTTTAAGAACTATCATCGTGTTTGTAGGTGTGGCTCAAAATATTATTCAAACTGTCATATGCTTTGTAAAGTACTATCCTCTACAAGTAAGTCTCTCTTTTGGATAGATACTTGACCGATGTGCGTTTATAAAAAAATTAATATTTGAATTGTGCAGCATGTAATCGAAGAGATGAAAATCTGCGTAAAAGAAGCGCAAAAATACGAGATAGAAATTTTCCAGAAATATATCGCGAAACTTAAAACTGTTTGGGGATGTAGCATAACGTGTATGTACTTGACCGCTTTGGCATTTACAATTGGGCCTGTATTCATGTCAACTCCTCTTCCATGCGATGCGGAATATCCGTTTCAACTTAATTATACACCCGTATTCGCCATCGTATATTTCCATCAATCTTTCCTTAGCTATCAGTGTCTCGCACATATGTGCATAAGCATGTTCGGATCACTTTTACTTTGGTTCACGGCAGCAAGGTTTGAGTGTTTATGCGTTGAATTGCAGAACGCCACTGATATCGATATGCTGATCGTTTGCATTAAAAAGCAACTACATTTACGAAGGTAAATTTAATTATTTAATCAATTTATTTGCATTTATTGGATTAATTATAATAATATTTTATTTATCATAAAAAGATAAGAAATAAAATAGGACATTTATTATTTTTTTTAAACAAACGAATGATAAATCAGTTATTTTTATTTTTCTATTATTTTATTAATATTAAAAAGAAGATTTGCAAATTTTTATCGATCAATCAATAGTATTGTAAAAAAATCTATAAAATAGATTGTTTGAAAATAAAATTCCTTATTCTAATTTACACAATTATTTATATAGTTTTAAAAATAGCAATATTATTATATATTGTAATATTATATATTGTAAAATGATTGTTTCTATCTTTTTTATATTTTTTTACAAATATATTTTATTGATTTATTAATTAATTAAGAAGATTAATTAAGATTAAATAAGAAACAAAAAAAATTGATTACAATTATATATAATTATATAAATGTTTCTTTCTTCTTTAGGTATGCAAAAAAAGTGATTAATGGATTTCGTTTTATAATATTTAATGCCATTGGACTGAGCACACTTGTCCTTACTTTAGCCGGTATTATATTAATTACGGTAAGCAAGATTAATTATAACTTTTCGTAATAATAACAGACTAACTAATAAAATTCATAAACAGAATGTACCAAAAATTTTGAAATATCAATTTGTAATTGTATGTATGACCCTATTAGCAGAAATTTATATGTATACATGGCCAGCCGATTATATGACAGATATGGTAAATGATCTTCCATTTTGCATTGTAAATTGGGAAAAGTTAGCAGATTTTTGTATATAATAAAATTTTTTATATAAGTAAAAATTATAATATTATTTAAAAAAAAACATGTCTAATTTTTTTGGAATTTTCTTCTTTTTAAAACGAATATCTTATAACAGATCCTATTATTGCATTATTGCAAATTATTATGATTTAATTTTTTATTTATTTATTTGCATTTTAAATTAATGAAAAATGATGAATTTTTAATATTACCAGTTTTACTCAATATGTTGCTAACGTTTTCCCAGCTTATAGTAATATATATTTATTAATCTATACAGATTAATTACGTTCTTTTCTATTCAAAAAATTAATCTTCCATATTTCTTAGAGTGTAAATGTTTCACGAAAAGTATACGATTCAATGTGGTATAAACAAACATTAAAAATGCAAAAGAATTTATTGAAAGTATTGATATTTCAACGACCAGTAAGTTTATCTATCAGTTGTATATTGCCAGAGCTTACATTACGTTATTATTGCTCGGTAAGATAGTTTAATATTTGTCAATTGTTATTTATGTACAAATTATTTAATCAAAAATAACAAAATGATATTTCAGTATCTATCCAATGTTTTCTCTATTTTCGCTGCTTTGCGTGTCGTCATAGAAGATAATATATAATAAGTATTCTTAAACTATTATTTTGATAATGCAATAATGTATAATATTAATACTTTCTAGTCTAGAAATCATAAGAAGAATAAATTGATAAAAAAAACAATAAAAAAAAATGTTAACGTTAATTTTATTATTTTATATAATTCTTTGCCATTTTAGTGTTATTATAATTTTTATAGTTATGTAATTTCTATACAAATATCTTTATTTTCCACTGTAGATCTCTCTTTTTGAATTAATTGAATTTTATCTTTTTAAGTTCTTGACAAAACGTTTTGATATGAATAGATAATCATAATTTTGTAAAATTCAATTCAATTAAAAATAAAATTTAATATTTGGAAAATATATGAGAATTATGTATGAAAATTATATGAAAAACTTAAGTATAAATAAATAGTTTCAAGAAAATGATATTTTATATATATGCATTAATTTTACAGTTTTTATTATTTATATAATATATTAATATATAAATAATAATAAAATATAATACCAGGATATTTTGTTATAATAACATATTATTTATTTTGATAAATTCAATGACAAAATATATTTTAAAAATATATTTTTTCACAATTATTTCTACATTTCATCCATTACATCCATTTTACACCCTTTCACAATATAATCCTTAGCTTTTCGAGTCTGATCAACAATGTGTAGATTGCTTTGTTCTACATTAGAAGAATCAGTAGTCTCTTGAATCTGATCGGTAATTTGTGGATTGGTTTGTTCTACATTAGAAGAATCAGTAGCTTCTCGAGTCTGATCGGTAATTTGTGGATTGCTTTGTTCTATGTTAGAAGAATCAATAACTTCTTGAATTTGTCCAGTAATTTGCTCATTGCACTCTTTTATATCAGAAGAATCATTAGCTTCGTGAACTTGATCAGTAATTTCTAGATCGCACTCTTTCACTTTAGAGGAATCAGTAGTTTCTTGAATCAGACCAGTAATTCTTTTACATCAGGAGAATCGGTAACTTGCTGAATCTGACTAGTAATTTGTTGACTGCACTCTTTCACATCAGAAGAATCAATCTGTTCATTAACCTTTTCGATTTGATCAGTGGGTTCTTCTTCTTCAATCTTATCAGTAACTCGTCGAGTGCACTCTTTTTCATCGACATAATTGTTTTCTGGAAAACTATAATCTCGAAATGAATGCAATTTATGCTTTTTTGATTTTATATTTGCGACCTGTTGATGGAGTTCCATGTTATCATCCAGAAACACGTTTATCCCCTTTCGCCTTTCCAATTCTTCCAGACTGTATCCAATAGTTCGTCGATGCAACAACCATGGTTCCGGTTCTGGTGGTCGTGGTAATGCTCTAGGTTTCATGGGATAGGGTAATCTGTAATGACATTCTGATGTCGTACGATAATCCATCCTACGAGCTTCTTCGGCATCGTACAATATATCTGTTAACGTAGGTTCTTCTTCTTCAGGCCTGCAATATATTTCACTTCTTCAAGTATCACTTTTCGAAAATATTCATGCATCGCTATATTTCTAATAATATTACTTTTTTTATAAGCAATTATTTTACCATTTTTCTACAAATATAAGAAAATTTTTTCTATTAAAGGCTATTTTTATTGTCATTAAACATATAGATTTCACTCAATTGAATTATGAAATTTATACTAAGATATCTTAAAAATTTAAGACATTCTACTAACAAATTGTACATTGATATTTTTTAGAAATTTTGTCAAATTAAATACTTTAGTATTTAATACATAAAATTGTAAACTCTTATGTTTTTATATGGACAATATTATATGAATAATTAAAATTTTCAAATATGTAATGTTATTTTACTTTTATTTTCGACTGTTGTCACTATAAATATACTGAATACTTGATTTTTAATCTCTCTAAGAGAAGAGCTTCTTGAAAGATTTTCTAATTTATTTATTTTAATATAATTACATTATTTTATTAATGATATAATATTGGTTTTTCATTAATGGTCTTCAATGGAGAGAAATTCATGTAAATCTTAAACATTACCTTCTCTACAATTAAAAATAGTTCAATTTTTCTATGACAAATTTTTCTACGAAAAGAATAAATTATCTTGCTTCTTGCTTCTAATCTAACAGAAAGTAATGTATCATCTGGTTATATAAAAGAAAAATAATAAAAAAAAATTAAACAAAATTTATATTATTTATTCGTGTAGAGAAATTTGCTCACATTTAGAGATATTTCGAGATCAATTTAATTATAAAAATAATAATTAAATTATATATGTTATATATATATGTATAATATATATATATTATATATATATGTATAATATGGTTATATTCAAATGTAGAATATTTTATAATACGTACACCTCTTCTACAAGTTTCTTCATTTTATGTAAAACACGATGCGGAATAATTGGTTCATATTGATCTTTTAATTCTATTTGTGATAACATGGCTTGTGTTTCTGAAATTCCTGTACAAATATCTCCTGGACCCAATCTTTTATACGATGATAAATGGAGATTCCCTTTCGGTGGAAATATCTCTTTGTTATCTCTGGGTTCTGCTAATGTATGCATTTGCCTACAAAATCAAGCTTTATTAGTCGATAACTTGATATTTAGATTGATAAAACTTGAAAATTTTTAAGTCGAATCTCAAAATTCAAAAAATTCTCTCATAAACTAAAATCTTAATAATCATCTTAACTTAAAAATAATTTAAAAATTACATTTTTTTATACAAATTTTTTTAATATAAAGTCATTAATTAACATATATTAAAAATGTAAACATAAACTCAATTGAATTATTATTATTTGAATAAAAATATTGATTTTGAGATTTCAAATGTCATATAGTTAATTTAATAGATTAAAAAATAATCAATTTATTATTTATGGATAAACTATCAAACAAGAAATAAACTAAATTTTTTCAAAAATTTCATTTCTCTGGTAAATAAGAAGAGATTTTATTAAAAAAAAAAACAATATATTCAAAATTTCGATAACAAAAAATGATACTTACGTCAATGATTTATTCCAATAAAAAAATAAAATAAAATTCTCAATGTTATTGTCTCGTATAGTTTATTATATTATTGACTAATCACTTTTTATTATAGTATTTAAACTATTATTTTATTATGATTAAATTTTCTTTAATGATTCTCAAATAAAAACTACGTGCACGATTAAAACCAGTCGCATTATAAATGCTCTTAATATCAACGTTGATCGTATGCGTTGCTACGCATAACAAAAGGAGGGTGCGTTTTACCCTCGTTCGTTTTACTTATTTTCCTTCCTGTTAATATTGTATTCTTCGTGTTAATATTGTAAGAATTATTTTTTTCATCATTGTTAATTATTCACTTTGTTGATTAAAAAAGATTTTTAAAAGTAATATGTATATCTTGATTATACATTTTATTGCAAGATATTAATATATTCGTAGAATATTTTTAGAAAATCGATTCTAAAAACAAATACAAAAGTTGATGTACAAAAATATATGGTTAAAGTTTATTTAAGTTATATGCAATTGTAGTTCGTATTGCATAAAACGAAACGGGAATAGAGTGTAATAGAGACAGAGACGTTTCACTTTATTTCCGTCTCGCTTCGTTTAACTACGAACTTCGAATAATTAAAAGTAATTACAATTTCAATCAACATTTTTATATATTGTTGTTTTGATCTCTAGAATCGATCATCCAAAGATATATCATGAATTAACATTTTATATATGAAAATAAAAATTTAATTTTATTAAATTTACTTTATGCAGAGAATGCTTACCAATTATGAATTTTTACTTTAGTATTATAAATTGCAGGAGTATGAAAAACAATTGGTTCCATTTCTTTAATTTCATCTTCACAAATTGGAAGAGCAGCCTGTAATATGATTAATATTTATAACATTTATATTTATTATTCTACATATAATAATAAGTATTTTTAATGTTGTAATTTTGTTTTATACAATACGCAGAAATTATTCAACAATAACAAAAATAAGTAAAAGAAAAGAAAAGAATAAAATAAAATTTGAAATCTCATTTTTAAGAAAATCTAATTTAAAAATTTATCAATTCTTTATAATATAAAAGTTTATTTTCAAGAAAATCAAACTAAAAGTTAATCAAGTATATGTATACTTAACTAATTCTTAATTGAATCTTATTTTTTAATTATTATTTTAAACTCAATAATTTTCTTAAAAACAAATTAAAAAAAAAACATTTTAATCCACATTTTTTTATTTATTTTCGCTTATTTATTTATTAATAATAATTTCACATATATTTAATTAATTACATTTCCAAATTTGATTTAGCCAAATATATTTTTGCATATGAAAACTTTGATTCCATATTTTTTTCAATGAAAATTATCATTTTCTTAGTTATATCTAAATTATTGAAACACTCTATAGGTATGTTTCTAATAATAAATATGTAATAAACGAAAATGCTTTATTTATTAAAAATATTTAATTTTGCCTTGTATCAAGATATAATTAATATTATTATATAGCATTAAAAGAGAAAAATATTGAAGTATAATAAATAAATTGTATATAAACGTAAATGACATTATGGATCTACATAATCTACATTGAATTAAATAAATATATAATATTATATGTATATTAATATTAAAATATATAAATAAATTTCATATGAATGATATTTTATACATAGTACATAGTTTATAATAATTAGTAAAATTTATAATTAATCTTACGTTTAATCTTCCTTTCGTCAACATGTTTCCTTTTTAATGTTATGTATATTTTCTTAATATATTTTATTCCACAGAATACTGCACAAATAATTAATTGAAAATTACTTTGAATATAGTATCAAATATTTGTAAAAAAAAAATTATATAAAATGTTCCTTTTTAATATTTTCTATCGAATCTCTGATATCTTCACATCTCTTAGAAATGACGATATATAAACGATGTAATTTATTATAAATCTATTAAGCATTAAGTTATTTTTAAATCGATTCAACGGTAGTATATTTTTTGTTTTAAGTTTATTGAAAAAGAAAAAAATTGTGAAAAAATGAATACTATGTTAAAAGAATTAATATTACAAAAATGCCGTAAGGTTAGATCTTTGGAATATGTTGAGGAAGAAGAAAGGGAGGATATCCCAGAAGAAGAGCCCGAATTGGAACCAGAATTGCCTTTTGATGATATTCTCGCCGATAAACGTCGCAAATACTCTATTAAGGAAGAATATATTTATCTTCTTTACAATGACATTTTGAAGTATTTTGTGAAAGAGTAATTATTTTTCCTATTATTGAATCTTTATTCAAATTTCATTATTTATAAATTCAGTTCTTATAAACTAATTAAAATGTATAAAACTATCAATACTAAAAATTTAGTCAATACAATTATTTGCACATACTTGATTCATAAATAAAAATTATAAACAAGTGAAGAAAAATTATATATGATATAAATTATTATATATAAATTTTTTTTATATAATAAATTTTTTATAAAATTTTAATTAAAATTTCTCTCATATATGTATTATTATTTGTAATGTATTTTACATATATATATACTGGATGTCATGGATTATTTTTGTAAAATAATGTTGGTATATGAATAAAAATAAGAATGTTAAATAGCATATAAATATAAGTTTGTAAATATTTTACTAAAAGCTTGTAATAAAAATAGGAACGAATTTTTTGTTTAATAAATCATGGGAATATGTTGATTTATGATATTCCAAAAGATTATTTGTTTTTATAAATCTTAATGCTTATGATTTAGACTATGGATTTTTATGCAAATACATATTTTTTATATATTTTGTATATTTTACATGATATAAATATATATGATATAAATAAATATATCACGTATTTTTTCTCTGATATTAATTTTATTCAAAATATTATAAATGAATTTAATTAGATTTTAAATCATTAAAAAAATTTTAATTATTACGATTAAAATTTTATTATTAATAGATGGGATGGTAAATACTTAAGAAAAAAACCTAAAAAAATAATTGATGATGATGATGATATACTTAGTGATGAAGAATGTATTGATGAAGAAGAATATTATGAAGAGGAAATTGTTGTTGAAGAAAAAAAAAATGATAACTTTGAAGAATGTATTAACGATACATTTAAAACGAACATGGATTTATCTTGGAAGTTAAAATTGCCCGATGAATTTGCAAATATAACGTTCATTAATAATAATACATACAGTGGTCGTATTAGTAGAAAAATGATGGAAGGTGAAGGCGTTTATAGATGGATTAATGGTGCTCAATATAAAGTAAGAATTTTCAATTTGTTATTTTCTTAAACATCATTAACAAATTGATATATTTTTCAATTAATAGAATCAGATTATTGTATAATAAGACTGATAATATTTTAATAACAAGATTGAAATTTTATTTAAGTTAAATTAGTTTTTATCAATCCGATAAATTTTTAAATCATAATTTATTAATTTATTATTTCAATAACGAAAAAATTATGTATTTTATTAAATTTATATTATGATTATAATTTTATTCTTTTAAAATAATAAAAATGATTAAATTTTTTAAAAATAGAAAGTTTCATTTAAGTAAATAAAAATGTCATATGTAATAAACAATTTTTTCCTATTTTTTATTATTATTAAAAATAATATAGTTTCGCAGGGAACATTTGAACAAAATCTTATGCATGGGAAAGGTTTACTGGAATGGAATAATGTTTGCTGGTACGAGGGTGATTTTATAAATGGTTATCGACATGGCAGAGGAATGATGGTGGATGGAGAAAATCGTTACATGTACACTGGTCAATGGTATAAGGGTTTGAGACATGGTAAAGGGTATGTAAAAATATAAGATAATTATTTTAATCAATTAGAACTTCATATGAAAATTAAAATATATATAAGTATTAGAAAAAATATAACGTATGATGAAATACTTTGCAAGCACAAAATTTAAAAGAAAAAAAAAAAAACAATATCATATACAATATAGACTAGATAAAAAATATTTTATTATTCCCTAATATTTCTTACTTTTAATTTATAGTTTTACAATATAATGCGTATTGATTTTTTACATTAATAAATTTTATTTTTATAAAAATCGTGTTATTACACATATAATGTAAATATTGTAGAGTAAAAATAAATGCGAAAATTAAAAAAAGAATATAGGAATATCTTTTTTCTATATTTTTTCTGTAACAATATTCCCACCATATAGTGCCATTATGAGAATTCAAATCTGGATTATTATGATCATAAGATAGGATCCTAAGCATTGGATTTTACAGCTATCAAAAATTGAGAATATTTTTACATGTATTTCAATGTTCTATATTTTCTTCGTTATTTTAAGAAATTTATTTAAAAGAAAAATCGAAAAATTGAAAATTATGTATTAAATACAAAATACAAATATATATTGAGAGACGCAGATTGTTCCAAATAACTCGGAAATTACTAAATTATACAAAGAAATGTTTTATATAAATTTTCATAGTGTATAACAAAACTATAAATATATTCTCATCTATATATGAGCTTTTCAATATATTGATTGAACAATCAATATGTTTATTACAAAAGTTATGCTCGTTATGAAGATAATGGTTCATACGATGGCGATTGGGTAATGGACAAGATGAATGGGATTGGATTACGAATTTATCCAAGCGGTGCTCGTTACGTGGGTCAATGGAAAAATGGAATTCGTGATGGTATCGGGACTATGGTTTGGACTAATGGAAATTTTTATCGTGGAGAATGGAAATGTGGTTCAATGCATGGGTTTGTTAATCTGAATTCTTATAATTAATCAAAAATATATAATATAATATAAAACATTTTTTCATCTTAATTTAATATTATGAAATTATATACATATTGTAATATACATTAGTTATGGAGAACATGTATGGAATGGATTCTTCAACAAAACTTTTACTTGGCCACAAGAAGCATCTTACTCAGGTTATTGGCGTCATGGATTGCGTCATGGCAAAGGTGGATTATATTTTTATTTTATAACGAAATTAAAAATATTAATTAAATTGTTTTCATATAGGAGATATGAAATTTAATTCTGTCGGTGGAGCAAAGTATTCTGGATATTGGAAGGATAATAAGAAACACGGTTATGGAATTATATTTGGTAATATAAATATTTTTAAAATTAAACTTAAAAATATGATATATTTAAAAATTCGTATTTTAAATTTATTACTTTAATACATAAAAGAATTATTTAGATATCTCGTTATATCTCCTTATAATCGTATTAACAAATTTTTCACTAATGATATTTATAATAAATTTTAAAAGAAAAAAAATATATTCGTAGAATATCTCTGGAGGATTGATTCTAGATATTGAAAAACAAAAAAAAGAATTATTATATAAAAATATCGATTGGATTTATTTAAGATTTAAATAATTGAAATATAGATTTATCTCTGTTACATTATCTTTTCACTATCTCATTTCATTTAATGCAAACTTAAATTGTTTATAATTCAAGAAACAAACTCATCAATCAATCTCATCAAAATATTTTTGTATACTAATTATATATATGTTTATTTTATCTTTAAAATCGATTCTTCAAATGTATTTCACAAATATATTAATATATATGTATATAATATATATTTATTTTATTCGTTCAAAACATTATCTTAATTAAAAAATATACTTTTATCATATATATAGGAAATAATGGAGAAAAATTCGAGGCTGATCCATTATTTTTAAATGATATTTTATGTACTGATATTATGAAAGATAATAAAGATAATAATAATTTAGAAAATAAATCAGAAGTAAAAGATAAAGAAGAATGCATAATTACAGATCTAAAACCAAAGTAAGAATCACTACTTTAATAATCACATAATGTATATTACAAATATAAAAATTATTTTTTTATTATATTAAGAATATATATAGTAATAAATACATATAAATATGAATAATTATCTGCATTTATATATATATATATATATATATATATATATATACATATATTAGTAG